GGGTTTTGGCTTGTGCAGCTCTCGTCCATCTCTGGATGGAGTACACTTCTCTTGGTATCTTCCTGTTTTAAATCCAGCTGATTGATTTTCTTTCTTTTTCTTCCTTCACACTTGTTTATTTTAATAAAGATAGATTTTTTTGAAACCTCCAGCAAAATATTCTGCTGTCTCCACCTACCCTCCTGGCATTGAGTGCAGTGGTTATAATTTGATTTCTGCCTCTCCTGCTGCGCTGATGTGGAAAAAAAAATAGAGCTGATTTTTCTGTATTTTTTTGGTGGGGGAAGCAAGGGAAGGAGAGGCTAGGAGTAGTGTGGGGAGAAAGAAGGAGAATCAGAGGGAATGCACTGTCATTTTCTAGGCCGTTTTTTTTCCCAAGTTTGCACTGTCTGATGGACAAAAATCCCAGTCTAGCTCAGCTAATCAATTGCTCTCTGAAGAACAGAAAATGGCTCATGTCTTTAGGTATTTTTAAGTTATTCTTGGCCTGCTGCAGTGACTCATAGCACCTGCTCTGTGCCAATGAGTTCAGGTTTGTAGCCTATTTGTGAGGAAGAGGATCATGATAATCTGCAGTTTGCAAAGGGGGAAACTGAGGCATGGAAATAAATGGACTCTTGTCCCTTCAGATCATGTGCACAGCCGAGGAAACATAGAGCACAGCACTAGGAATTAATGTCCAAACTCAACATACAATCAGCGCTCACAATCCCGACTACATTTGCAGCAGCCCTCAGATCCCAATTAAACTTTGACAAAAGTAGATATTCACCACTGCTTAGCAGCCAGCTTTTCTCCAGAGATAATACTAAGCAGCAGATTTTCAAAAGAGTTTAGCTATTCCCGGTTCTTGGAGCTTTTTAGGGAAAAGCGCCTGCTTTTAGGTTTAAAAAGGAATGGCTGCTGCTTTGCCAAAAAATCTAGCCCTTCATTTCTAGGCATGGAATTAAAAACATAATCATCATTTATTTCTAGCTTCTAAATGAGTAGCTTCCCTTGTATCTCTTTTGTTCCCAGTTTTGCTGGTTTCTGGGGACAGGGCTAGTGATGCTTTCTCTGTGTATCTGAAGATAATTGCACTGCTAAATAATTTTTCCTCCT